ATCAGCACAATGGCTAGCACGCAATAAGTTCTCCTTAAATGATGGCTCTTATATTTTTCCTATAAAAACTAAACAGATGACAAATAAAAATGAGAATTCCAGCTCAAGTGCATACTTTCATTCAGCAAGTTTGTCATTTATAGGCCCCTTGTGGCATAGTCCAAGTAATTATTAAGGGTTATTGCCTGAAAAAGCAAAATGAAGGCTAAGAGCTGAGAGAGGTTGAGGTTGATGAGAGAAACGCTTGATACTGATTTGGTCAAATCTGGAAGAAAGCAGTAACTTTCTATTTAAATGAGTTTACAAAAGACCACCTTCTCTAATTTTTATTCTACTTGTCTGTGGTTTACTTACTGTAGTGAAATAATCTCCAACATCACAAATCATTTCTTAGGAAACAAACCAAAACCCTTCTTCATTGTTACTTTCTTAATAAATTTCCCAAGCTGAAGGTAATTAAACAATCTTTTTTAGATGAATCAATCACAAACCTCAAAATCAATAGATTGCTAATTTAAAATTTTTAAAAAAATAGTATTTAGTGTTTGGTGAATTTCTATTTTTTTAATCAAATCCATTAAGAGAGAAAAAAAAAACTTGATTTCCCTAGTAAACAAAATCCAATGGAAAGGATTTCTTGCAATACCACCACTGCTTGCACTCCAAGTTTTCATTGCATTCCTTTTCCCAAGGCACTTTTTATCCCACTCTATCTTCCTCTCAAAACAGGGAAATGGTAAAAACTGCACCAATAAGATAAGATTATTTATATTTTTTAAAAAACATTAAAAATAATAAAAACATAGAGGAGAATTTAGGAACATAGTCCTTTTTTTGTTTCAGTACAGTTTTTTTCTCTAGGAAAAATCACTTCTGTTTATTATGTTGTATTGCTTGATATACAAATACAATTGTCTTCTTGGAAATCTAAATATTATGTAAAACTTTAAAATTGTAAATGGATAAAGAACAAATCTATAGACATGGATATCCATCTTCTCACACATATTTTTAATTGAATGCATAGATATAGTTCTTTTTTCTAATTATGGAAAGTGATAGACATCTGGAAGAATGTACAATTTAACTAACAATTGCTATGTTTATTATCAATAGACATGAGGAGAATAAATAAGAGAAACCAAAATGTAAAATGTTCAAGTATGTTTATTACATAGAATAAATAAATAAGCAGAAAGTCTATTTTGAGATTCTACTTTTTAAAAAACAAGTTTATAAAATCATAAGAAAAATGAGAAAATGTTAATGCCATTTGATACAATGCCACATAAACTTCTGAAAATTATATACATTGCCAAAATTTAAGAGTCTTTTATAACTACTTAACTACCAATTACATTATAATTTTTAGTAGTGACTATTTATTAACTAATAGTTAACAAATCATACTGATATTTGTCCATCTTGATCTTTTTTTTATTTTCTCAATTTTGCAACATTTCCAGTGCCTTAAGTTATGCCTTCAGTTACTTGCTTGCCAATCAATTATGAAATATTTCTTTAGGTTTATTCTGTGACTCATAGATCTACGCAGCATAGTGAGAGACATTATCAGAAAAGCATGATCTTACTTCATTCATCAATTGAAGATGCAAGAAGGACAAATGAAATTATTAATCCTGTTCTATTTACTCTGAGTAATTTGAAACCATTAAAATCACTTTGGAATGATTAAATTTTACCATAATTTACATTGTATATGACCTCTTCAACCCCCATTTCCCTGATTTCATAAGATTTCACAACAGTGTTACAGTTGTAAATATATAACTATTATGTGAGTTGGAGCATTAGAGGAAGATCAAGACTTGAAGAAGAGGGAATCTAAGATTTTCTGTTAAAGATTGAGAAGATTGTGTACATTGAGGGGATGACTGAAAGTATTCTTGGAAGAGAATGAAAGCATGCAACTAGTGAGGAGACTTACTTGATTGGTGTGAAGAATGACCACTGGGAGACATTGGAATTTAAGGATAGTAGAGTCCAATTTAAGAATCTTGAATTTAA